CAGTGCTATTTCTAAATTTTATAATCATACGACTTATTATATGAAATGATATATGTATTATTACATCACAAAACTTCATATTAAAAAATCATCACAATGAATATAATAACATTTTTAATATAAATCTACTATTTAACTATTTATAAACATTATTATATAGACAAATATATATATTAAATATATATATATATATATATATATTTATATTTAATAACTGTAACCGTAAAATATTTTGTATCTCTGGAATAAACAATATCAACAGCAATCGTACTTTTAAACGCTGTAAAAAACCTCATTCTCATTGTAAATTCTGTCTTCATAAAGACATAGGCTCCAACTAACCACGCCCAACAGTAATATTAATGAAGTGCAATTGTACCAATTTGTTAGATTGCAATTATTAAGTATTTATTAGCTATTCTCACATGAAGACATGTACCTCTTTTAATTTTCCTTTATTCGTTCTCTGGATATGTATTTTATAAAATAAGTGAAAATTTAAAGAAAACTTAAAATTTGTATAATAAATATACGAAATATACTTATTGACACACTATGAGTAAATCAATAAGATTTTTAAATGATAATCAATAATTGTATATAAATCAGTAAAAGGTGTATACAATATGTTAATGTAATGTATACCTTTTAGTATATATTTTATATTCGTATATTTACAGTAAGCGTTCAAGAGAACTCTCTTATTATTTGTAATAAAATATAGATTATTAATAATATAGATTTTTAATATAGATTTTAATACTTTTAATAGTTAGGCTATAACACGGCAGAAACCTGACCCCATATTTTATATTTATTACAAATTTAAGCTACAACATATTGGCACATGTATTTTTTTTTTTAAGGCTGTAAGTATGTGGTTTATTATCCTACAGTATTTTACACACTTGGAGTTACGTTTTATTTAACAGCATTTGAAAAAAAAGCATGTAGGTACGATGAAAAGTCATCTAAACAAAATACTGATATATTTTATGATACTTTTTTATCATACTTTGAAAAAAGGGATTATCATTTGGACGATTTGAAAATATTTCGGTCGATCTTAAAAATAAATTGTTCTATTTGTTATTTTTATATGTTGATGTACAACAAAGTATACATTTTTTGATGGAAAAAAATAAAAATAATATCGGTTAGAAATTAGTTCTAGATGATTTATTTGATGAATTTAATCATATAGTGAACATTTTCAAAATACGAGTTAATAAATGACAAAAAAATTGTACAAAAGTAGAAGAAAAATGGTGTGAAAGTATATAGTATCCCAGTATATAGTAAATCAAAATATTGGTTTACAAAATGTATCAGGAATTATTGAATATGCTTTGGCAATACCCAGAACAAATATAGCAGTTGAAATAACGTTTTCTAGTATAAATTTATTGTGGAGTGATGAAAATATTGTTTTCTTATAAACACTAATACTCTGTACGGTCCGTTATTTTAAGGACCAGATCGGACTTCAAATTTTACCAGGGGATCGAAGTCGGACTGGACCACACTTAAACGTTAATCAAAAACCAAATTGGACCGAACCGACGGCTTCATATTATTTTTAGACCAGACCGGACCAGTAATTAAATAACATTTGATAAAGTAGATCGTAAACCAGACTTTCGGTTCGATCTTAAAACATTTTGGACCGTTTATGGATCGGTCCGTAAGGTTCAGTCTGTATGGACGAGTCCGTTTTCGACCAAAACCATACCTTCCCTTTTCGGTTGATTCACTTTTCAACCAAATTTAAAATAGGTCGATTCCCTTTTCTACCAAAACAAAAATTTATATAATAAATTTAAAATAATAAAATAATGATATACAATGTTTGATTATAATGGAAACTACTATAATGTATTAATGACGATTCAGGGTTTTCACGCGTAGCGAGATCTTAGGTTCACATACAGAGCATAATCCCATTTGCAACAGTATCAAGATTTGTACAAAAATTAGGTTAGGCTTAGATTATAATTTCTCTTGGGATGAAATCCTAAGAAAAACCCTAATAATTAAAGTTCCGATTATTCGAAAAAAAAATGCAAAATATTTTCATTACGATAAGAGATCAAAACTAGATACAAAATATCGTTCTCTTTTATATTAATATTTTAGTAGTTATTGACAACAATTGTACATAATTATTTTATTATTTTAAATTTATTATTTACATTTTTGTTTTGATCGAAAAGGGAATCGGCCTATTTTAAATTTGGTCGAAAAGTGAATCGGTTGAAAAGGGAAGGGTACGTTTTTGGTCGAAAACGGCCATGCCCGTCTGTATTAGCCCAAACCGTACCATATAATACGTTTAGTATTACACTGGACCGGACTACCCGACTTTATAAATAAATATTTACCTTAAGTTGTAGGTTTTTTTTCGTTTTATTTGTATACATAACAATATCTGTATTTAGATTTTAAGTGCCATGATTGGGACCGGACTGATTTTCATTTTATTTTTTTGAAACCGGACCGGTCTGAAAATAATGCATTTGATCTGAGGACTGGACCGAACTACTAAAAATGTTTGAACTGGACCAAACCGACGATCCAATAGTTTTTGTATGTTAGGACCGTACTAGACCGGATCAATGTCCGGTCCGGTCCGGACTGGACTGATTAAGACCGGACCATGCAGAACACTAATAAACACATATTTGAATATAACAAGTAGTTTTACTATTTAAAAATTGAATAATATTATAAGTTTTGTTGTTTAATATATATATTATTTAAATAAGTTTCATGTTTTGACAATCAATCAATTTTTTTTTTTTACTCATTGCAAAATAAGTTTCCTGTTTCTTTTTTACATATGGTCACCTTATTATACGAGACGGACACATTTCAGTCATTAGACTATACTTACTAACTTAACCAAGTTAACTTTGATTCCTCGATCGTCTTAATTCGTTCAACTTAACCATCGAAGAACACAAGGCAAATGGTTCGTGTACAATGGGTTTTACAATTATTTATATGTTAAAGTTTAACCTGCCAAAACATATATGTATATATATATATATATATACCAACAATTATAACAAAACGGTGCCGTATAATACAACGACGTATATTGATACATTGATATTTTACGCGAATCGAGTTTTAAATTATTTTTGTTCTCACAATCATTTTATTGGTAGTGTGCACTGCAGATAACTGCAGTATTCATTGTTACGGCGAAGGCTGTAAAACAATATGTGTATTTGAAAATTTTTCTGCATATGTATTTTCCGACGTTAGTGTGCAACGCACAACGTTTGCTTTCCGATGAATATTTATGCGTTTAGATTAATTTGTATAATGTAACAATGGGTGCTATCGAATACCATAAGAAGTTGTCTACGAATTTATATCATCGCTGTTTGTTGTATCGTTGATATAAATTTCAATTTTCTGCAGCGGTAGATACGAATGGTATAAGTGTCGTCCGTGGATTGGCCCATTGGGAAATCGGGATTTCCCGGTAGGCATTTACTCGTATTTATCTACAGGTCCTCGGGTCTGTTCAACATACTTCTTATTTTAAATTATACTGTTCGAACAAGACTAGTGTTATTTATTTTTTTCTTTACAAACCTTTTGGTTAACCTTCGAAACGAATCCGTGGTATATAGTTTTCATAGAACAGAATGTCGACAACGCAATATTGAATAACACATTATATGTTAAATCATCGGCGTATGTGTATATTTTTGTATTTCATGAGTGTACTGCTCGTCGTTTCATGCCTTCATACTATTACAGATTAAAACATTGAACACATCTGATAGTTTCACGGTATAATATCGAAAAAAAAAATTACGTTCATTAAATTAAAAAAATAATGCAAACGAATAATGTTAATAAACACACTGTTTATTAAAAAAAATTAACATGTACGTGTACATTCATTTTTAAACTAGATTCTATAGTATTGGGATTGTTAAAGTAATTATTAAAAAAAAAAAAAAAATTATTATATTTGAAATGTTGAAAAATATTTACCATACTCATTTACAATTTTTTTTTTTCTCATCATCAATAACAACTAGAAATATCATATTTTCTATATCAAAATAAGTAAAAATTTTGATAATTAATTTTACTATAGTAAACATATATTATAACTACTTGTACATATTAAATATTAAATAATAATTTAAGTTCTGTTCATTAGTAAACTATAAATGAGATTGTTGAAAATTCATAATAATTTCATGATTTAACCCGGCCTTTGGTCAAACTATTTTTAATAAAAGTATTGTTTTGCTATGCTTGTTGTACTCATATAATATGAGTACATTTTATAGAGAAGCGAAATATCATTTATATACAAAAATATGTATTTAATTATCATATTTTTGTATTTTAATATTTATATAATAATACATAAACATGTGGTAGAATAATATTTCTTTATTGTTACTATATCTATATGTATAAAAATAAGTGTACATTTTGAATAAATTGTATAACTCAAGATCCACCAAACCGATTTCGATAAAAATTTCAGGACATATTAAGATTGATATGTAGATGTTTACTGTGAAGTTTACATACTATACGATAAGTGGTTTCTGAGTTATGGCCTCATAAGTGCACACCTGGTGACATGACCAAAAACAACATACATACAGCCAGGGTTGGGCAAGATACTTAAAAAAAAGTATCATGGTACAGTCGATTCCGTTTAATAGAGAAATCGGTTAATAAGGATAACCACTTAATCGGGACAATTTTATAATTACGAAAACAAATGTATAATTGTAATGTAAAATTACGCTGCTTACCTGGGCCATGGGCCATAAATCCGGATAATTGGGACATTTTTATGATAGTAAATATTAATAGATCAATAGTTCGACAATCACGACTGACTCGCGTAATCGATTATTAGATTAAAATATACATTTTATCTTATCATATGTTCAAATGTGATGCGTGTTAAATGTTATTTAGTGCATTAGTCGAGTTTGTCACGTGTAGTAACGATGTCTCGTATGCGTAAAGATTTATCGCTTGCGCAAAAATTAGAAATTCTAGACAAAATTAAATTACAGCCACTAGGCTGTATTACTCGTCGTCTGTTGGAAATTTTAGAAGTATCGAAATCAACAATCGCACGAATTCAACTACAAGAACAGTTTTTGCGAGAACAAGCTCTTAGCCAAGTGACAACCCAGAAAAGAAAACGAGAGGGTAAAGATGCAGATGTAGACGAGGCACTGATTCAATGGTTTACATTGGCTACTAGTTGGGGCGTTCAAATGTCGGGTCCTATATTAAAAGCTAAATCCGAAGACCTTGCAAGGAAACTTGGTAATGACGAATTCAAAGTCACCAATGGCTGCTTATCTAGATGGAAAGTAAGATATGACATAAAATTTAAAATATCACATGGCGAAAAAGCTAGTGCAAACTCAGAGTGTGCCGATGAATGGAAACTTACAAAATTACCACAGATTCTTGCAAAATTTTCTTTCGATGATATTTATAATGCAGATGAAACAGGATTATACTATCCTGCAACCCCAGATGGTTTTCTGTGATTTAAACACGAATCGATAGCTGGATCAAAAAAAAGCTATGGACAGAATAACTATACTGTGTTGTGTGAACGCAAGTGGGACTGACAAAAAAAAAGCTTTTAGTGATAGGAAAAAGTAAAAAACCTCGTTGTTTTCAAAAAATTTCTTTACAAAAATTACCGGTTGAGTATCATGCAAATAAAAACGCATGAATGACTTCGGCCATTTTTATCGAATGGTTACAACGTTGGGATAGTGAGTTGAACAAAACAAAAAAGGCTATATGCCTCGTTTTAGACAACTGTACTGCCCATCCTAATATATCTATGAAAAATACCAAGCTTGAGTTCTTACCACCTAATACAACGTCACTAATTCAGCCTTTAGATATGGGTGTTATCCAAAATGTAAAGGTTAAGTATAGAGCAACACTGGTCAATTACATTTTAGAAAAGATTGAAGACAATTTACTTGAACCAAAATCAACGGCAATAGATATCAGTAAAAAAATTATTATACTACAAGCAATTAAATTCATTTCAGACAGTTGGCGTGATGTAAGTAGTCAGATAGTTAAAAATTGTTTTCGCAAGTGTGATTTTTTGAGGGATGTCAAAGCATCGATCAACAGTTGGAACCTAATTCCGAAGAATATGATAACGTAAGAGTACTAAACAACGTAGAATTTGAACTGGATTCAAATGTGTAATGCTATGACCAAAATGAATACGTTGATGATGTAATTATTCAATCCATACAAGATCAATATAATACAAATGAAGAGACGGACGAGGAACCAGATCCACCAATCCGACTACAGGAGGCAAAGAAATCTTTGGAAACATTGAGATTATTTTTTCTTCAACAAGGAAATGAGGGAAGCTCGATAAGTGCTTTGGATACTTGTTCGGACTACATTCGTCAACAAACAATAATAAGTAAAAAACAAAGTAATATTCATAATTTTTTTAACTAAGATAAAATAATAAAAAAAAATATATATATGTACTTTTATAAATATTTAGGTTATAATACTATGTTTTTCTTTTTGTATAGTTAAATAATTTCTATAATTGTATTATTGTAATATGTATTTGTAATAATAAAAACATAGGAAATCAGTTTTTCAATAAATTTATATGTTTTTTTTTATTTCGGATTATTGGGATAACCGATTTATTGGGACAAAATAACATGGAACCGATGTGTCCCAATAAAGCGGAATCGACTGTAATATAAATATAAAAATAATAATAATACAGTATTCACTCTTCTCTCTTTTTTTTTTTTTTTTTTTACAAAAACCTTTCTCTTGAATAACTCCATCAATTCAATACAATTTGCATAGTTTTAAAGATCTAATCATAAATAGTAACAAACGTATTTAACTAACATATTTATACGGAAGTTAAATATATAAACAACATATACGTTTATTGTTATTATATAAATATGGGTAAAGTCGGATATTTTATTTAGTGGACCACTGGTAGGCGATTGTAATGAAGAAAGGAGCAAGGGGGATCTGATTGAATATCGATCAATTTTTCAACAAGTGAATAATAATTTCTTGCAAAATCTTTGAAGTATTTCCGGGCAGGGTTAATAATGATAAAATAATTGAGTTTATTGCTTAATACATGACTAATTGAATTTCACTTCAATTATAAATGACATGAATAATCAGAGTTTAATAAAGCAATTTCTATTAACAATCATGTTATATCATACTTTTTATTAAGAAGCACTCAAACACAAATAAAAATAATAAAACAACAGTAAAGAAATCTTTAATTTTTTTTTTGCCATGAAATTATATTGACTTGAGGATACTTTGTTTCCCACTACTCAAGTTAAATATATTCAATGATAGCTTAACATTGACTTCTCCGTGATATATTTATGTGTTTGTTAATTATTTCTAAGATACATGGATCGGATTCTTAAACAGCAATCGTAGACGATCACCTACATTTTTATATATAGGTATGTGACATCGCTACAAGAGAGTTCTCCCGAAAAATAAATACCAAACATAATAATTTAGTAGAAGACTGGTACCACGTGTTTAACTCATAATTGGGAGCCAATCAAGTCATCACTTGAAAGTTCGTTAAATTATCAAAACAGAAGTAAGTATTATAAAATGTATCAATACAAAAAAAATTGATTAGTATTTAATAAAATTAAATGATAATTTTATAAGATAAATATGTGTACTAGTTAGTTATATTAGTTATAGTTAGTTATAGTTATATTAAAAAAAACAATTTATTTCTGAAGAACTACAAAAATATATTAGATAAATCAAAACATCCTACCTTATTTAAGAAGACTTGGGCACAATATTAAATATTATTTCGTTGTTATTTTGTTTTGTATTTGAAAAAAGAAAAATTCAATTTTTACTGAATCACTCGCAGAGATATTTTTTCAGAAAATATTTAGACTGAAGGTAATTTTGGTCGTATAGAACCACTATATTTATCATTGATAATTACGCGATACGTATGTGTGTGTATATGATTTTCGTGAGCAGAAATCATATTTCTGGTGGCTAATATTTTGGTATTACAGAAGCAATTTAAAAAAAAAAAAATAAAAGAGTAAAAAATATGTAGAAAATTGAAAGCTAAGCACGACGGGGCTCGGACTGAGAGTCAGAACGCCGACCGACTAGTCCATGCAAATATGTGTTGTGAATGTGTATATGTATTCGTGCATATATATTATTGGAGAGATGTATATTGTTCATGGTTTGCGGCGTTCATCCGTGCCGGCACTCCGGAACCTGTACAAATAGACATTACTCCAATTATTTGTAAATTGAAAACGGCGTAAGCGAAATATTTCTGCTGTGCGTGGTAGAACCAATGGAATGGTGGGGGGGGGGGGGGGGACAAGAGAGCGAGGTAAGGGCGGGGGGGGGGGGGGGGGGGGGGGACGGGGGGGGGGGGGGGGGGGGGGGGGGGAGAATCAAGACCCTGAAATACGCAGCTGTGTGAAAAATCGATGGATTTTCTCGTCGAGAGGTGTTCTTGGTTTTTTTTTCATATATATAAATCAGCGATGGATCCGTATTTTCAAAGCACCGTGAGATGATTCTTCAGTGGCGGGAAATTCAAAGGTGTCCTTACCTTCAGTCATCGCAATAGCTGTTATATGTTACGCGAACGATAACATTGTAATTTTGACGTTATTATTACACCATTCTGAAGCGTGTATTAGTGCGTGATGATGTTTTTAGAATTTTTCAATTTCTGTTTCTCAGCTGCACGTTGTCTACATTTTTACTACGAGTATTTAGACTTTAGGTATAATACCAAATGTTTAATGATACGATATACATGTTTATGCAGGTATAGATCAATTTTACAAAAGAAATTTAATTAATATTAATAACTCGCATGAATGTGTTGCTCCGTCTTACCGTTGATTATACTATAAATACTAGTATTAGTATTTGTAATCAACAGTGAAATGTAACAAATCTGTGTTTAGTAAAAGCAATTTTATACCACGTATTAATATTTTACCATGAATATGTAATACATCACTAATCAAAAGGCCTACTTTACAGTGACTAATGATTTAATGTATTTATTCTTATGGGACGTTTCTTACTTTTTACAGTATCCTAAACTATTGGGATAAGCCCATTTAAATATCTAACTTTTTGACTAATTCAAGTCAGAGGAAAAATTTTTAAATATAGTATGATGTAGTGTAATAGTATAGGTGTTTTGGTGTATATATACATTTTTCTGAGTTTTCCTTTACTTTGAAAAAATTAATTTTAAATACTTACATAAATGTATGTGTATGTTACGGGCTATGTGAAATACTGGTATATTTTAAAAAAATATTATAAATAGGTAAACATTTTAAAATTATAAAAAAAAAACAATACTATAAATCATTATAACTAGCTAATAGGTAATAATAAAATTATAATTTATAATGAAAATAAAAAATAATTTTAGTTGGTTAATAAAAATACTCGTGGTTCACATTGCACGGGCAGGTTGACTGAGCAATGTACTCATTGCCCGTAACATATATATATATATAGATGAATTTAAATTACTGTTAACGTGAACTACTATCAGATAAGTAAATTTCATATTACAACCCTTTAAATTTTAGATTTTAGATTTTAAAATCTATTGATATTACAAAAATACTTTAGGGACTTATTTTTGTAAACATATTTTGAAACTGAAAAATTTTTATGTAACTTACATGAACTTACTACGAATGAGGAATCGATTGATTTTAAGCGAATGGTCTTGAAGAATTATAGTAACTAATTTCCGAAATAATTTGGTTTTTAAACTGAAAAAAGGAAAGAATAATTTAATCGAAGTGGTTATGAATATTAAGAATTATAAAATAAAAAAAAAATAAATTAAATATGATTTTTAAAGATTATATACTTAAACAAATAAATAGTTTTTGCTTCAAGCATTCATGAATCTATTATCATATAATAATTATTAAAAAATGATAATATTTCTTTTTTCACTGATACTCCAAATGCATCAACTATTACTAACTATATTATTAAATAGTTTTTTTAGTTATGGAATACTCAAAAATGTATTAAGGTATTCCGCTATTGAATCACAAGCCATCAGTTAATTATTTTCTCAAACCTGTAATTTTATAGATAATAGAACATTTATTGTATAAACATTTGTTTTTATGCCTTTTTTTTTTATTTACCATCACTATACAGTTATTTTATATTATTGTTCTATTTTCCATTAACAGCACCCTTATAGCAAAATCACGCCCAGAAAGTAGTTCTTGTATGGAACTTGAATGAGTACCAAGATCAGTTTGGGTAGAGGACGAGAATTTAAAAATTTTCCTATAAGTATCTAATACATCCAGGTTGAATATTTTAAGAATTATAATATTATGTATAACGTATTATATATTTTATTAGCTCCTTGAAAATCCTTTCAAGTCACCTCTGTTTAATAGCAACTACATCTATGGCTCGGGTGAAAAGAGCCGACCTTCATATTAAATAACTTTTAGTCAGTATTTTGATACTTAAAATGTCACGCAAATTAAATTTTTTAAAAATTCGTAATAATGGCAATAATTGATATATACACGCTGAATGAGTATCATAAAAATTACATTTTACCAACGCTAACCGGCAATAAACAGTGTATACCCCTAGATAAGGGGCTTCACCAGTCAGATATAATTAAACGCTGTTGTAGAAAAACAATCTTTTATTTACATTACAAATACAAAATTAATACATAGCTAGAATGAAAAATATAAAAAAGTTAGTTTATATTATAAATACACTATAAACAATGAATAATAAAGTGAAAAGCATAAATTAATGTGATAATTGTGATTGTTTCATAATCAAATGTTTTTTTGTTTGTGTTTCGACATTGGAAACACATCGAAACAAATTATTTCCTAATGATAATAAATGTTTTTTGTACTTAGATTTTAGTGCCATCATGGAAGAAAAGCCTTTTTCGTATTCATAAGAAGTGGTGAATGGAACCAATGTTTTCAATATTTCTGTTACTAGACTTTTAATATTTTATCAGCTGATAGTTGTAAGTAAAAGTTGGTTGAGAATCTCTGCATCTAACTGCATCTATGCCTTGAACAAGGACGGGCTTATTTACGGCCTGGGAATATTATAAGAGAAATCATTTAATATAGCTGATCATCGTATGACTCATGATTAAAAACACATCTGTTCGAGAAATCATCGTTGTCACTTGAAAAGTATTCTAGTAACCGAATTTTCAATTGCATCGAATGTGTTTTCATGATGTCTGAAACACGATAATGAATAGGACTTTTCATTTTTATCAATGTAATTCGAAGTCAAATCGGATGCTTCAACATTTTGTTTTCTTGAAGCTCGCGGATCCGAGTGCTAGGGACGGGGGAGAGAGGAAAAGGGCCGAACGTAAGATTTGGATTTCGCCACTGGTGCACGTGAAAGTGTTGTAATAAAACGGCGATAGACAACGAGGTGGTGGTGGTGGTGGTGGCGATGGCGGTTGGAGGTGGAAAAATAATAAGAAAAGTAAAAACGAATGAAAATAGTTTTTATTTTCATTCATTTCATTTTTTTTTTTCTCTTCCCATTCCGCATAAGTCGACCGCTGTCGCAGCCGCCGCCGCGTTCCGTTGGTAGCCGACGGATTCCGATACGCGACCTTTGCCCGTGCCGACCGCGTGCGTGCGCGTGTCGCCGTCTCCCGCGCGACGCGCGCATTTTCATCACTGGTACGCGACACGGCGGCCGGGGCCCTCGAGCGCTGTTCACCGTCGCGCGTGCATTGTTTTCGCGTCTCCGCACATCGGAAGTCTCGCTCCGGCGTGTTCACAACAACACCGCCGCCGCCGCAGTTTGCCAAAACGACCCGGTGGGCACGGGCCCGACGGCGCAACAGTCACAAGTTACGCGCGAGAAACGGTACGGAAACACAATAACTTCGTCGTCGTTGGCAGCAATAAATAATCACGGTCCGTGTACAAAAAAAAAAAAATAAAAAAATACATACCACAGTACGTACGTACATACGTACCATGGTATATGTACCTACGACGACGGTTGGTTACGAGCGATGATCGGAAGTCGTTCGACACCGATTACCCGTTCGGTCTCCGCACCGATCCGTTCGCCGAATCCAATGTTTGACGTTTGCCATTTTTCCGCACTGAATTCGATCCGACCAACGCGCGCGTGGTCTGCGGTCCAACGGACCTATTAAACGAACCGTAAACGTTATCCTGTTGTATTCCGATTTTTTCGAGATATTTTTTTTTTTTTTACGCGACCGATCGTTTTCGTGACCACTATGAAAAATAAGATTTTTGAAATCCCGTAGTGCACTTCATCTACTTTCTGTACCGCACCAGGTTGTGTCGTGGTGTGCACGCGGTCTTAGGCCTGAATCGTTTTCACATTTTCCAACACTACTGTTGGTTGTTGTTGTCATTATAATTGATATTGTTTTTATTATCATTAGGTATCAACCGTTCCGGTTCGTCACGTGTTGTTGTACACAGCTATGAACTATCATCTTTGAGCGGCATGGTACGGCTACACGCGTTTTTCATACTCTCATTACTCGCTTTACAAGGTAAGACGAAAACGACAACGATTTTTGTAATATTATTATTTGCTTTTGTGTTATTTTTACCATCACTGAATGGCAATTACCCGTTCTGTATGATTTTTTACCTCTTTTGTAATCACGTACCTTCCATATATTTGGGTGGAGAACTCGCACCATATCGCGTGCGGTTTATTTGAAATTATCCGATAACGTTTCCGGCGGACAATAACAAACGTTATACTAGTGCATTTATCTTCCCACTCTAAATCTTTTTGTGTATATTTTTTCTATCAATCAGTTTCATCGCACAACATACGTTTACGTTGTTTCAATCACTTCTTTGTCTAACAGCACTACGCTTTCTAATTACAATATCATGGTAGGTAGTGTGTGGTTACAAATCAAATTGTTACTACTAAGTAATAACGGTAATACGATTGTTTTTCATTCAATGTATGATTATACTAATTACGATTGCGGTGGGTACATTATTAGAAGTCGTGTTTCGATTTTCGGCGCGCGCAACATTCGTTAATGGTGAAATATAATTTGGAAGATCTAACTTGGTGATATCAAACGTCGATTAATGAATTCGTTCGTCCAATATGTTAGATAATTCTGGGTTAATGTGTTTGGTAATGCGGCTGTAGTTTGGTCTTCATATCAATGTTCGGTAATTTTTTGGCGGGAATGTCCGTGATAATATACATTACGTTACGCTTATGATATTATACTTGATATTGTAATAATTCTTTGGCTGGTTTGAAGTTTAGAACATTAACGTTTGTAATATAACGAGTTGAATGTAATAATCAAGTTTGAATCTAAAACGAATTATAAGAGATACATGATTGATTATTGATTTCATTATAAATAATGTTATTTTTGTAGATATTTAGTAATTATCTAAAAATTATTAATAACATTAACTCTTAGAATGTGGGGCCTTAAAGTTGTTAATTATGCAGTATAGGTATTTTGTAACTGGGACCCAGTGCATAGTATTGTGATAAACTGTTTTCACTCGGCTAATGTATTTCGTAACTAGAGCCAACATTTAACTGACGTCCGTTTATATCTGTTGTTTATATCTGTTTTATATCTGTTGTTATTTGATAATTTTTAAATATTATTTATCAGTTATAAAAATAAAGTTTTTTACTTTTATAAAAAAAGCTAACTAGAATATTTGGATACATAATTTAACATTTGATTAACAATTTGTCACCCTCAATATATTAAGGACTCTGAGCATTCGACTCTTTGCTTGTATAAAAGTAAAGTGTAGTTCGTCACTAGGTACTTATATCAGTTAGTGTAATTTTATTTACACTATTTATCTATTCAAAAATTAACTAACGTTACACTTTAACTTTAATCGAGAAAATATCAGTAGAAAAAAAGAAAGTCCCTATGTTTCTGTTTAATGATAAAAACTTTGAAATATAAAATATCACTGTCTAAGGAAAAACAATAAACAGTTAAATAGAAATAATAAAATTATATGAGAAAAAATTTTAAATGATTTTTTTAAATATATAAATTTGGAATTTTTGTTAATTTGTGCTTTTTCTAGGCTAATGTCGGTTTTATTGGACACAATGTAATGTTTTATTATTTATAGAAATAAATATAAAAAGTTCACCTACACATGTACTAATGTTTATTAGACCAATTGATAAGTAAGCTACTAAACTCAAATCATGCATATTTTATAATAACTTTTGTTGTATTTAGAAAATAATATTTCTTATTATATTTCTTATTGTTTCTTATTAATCACTATTATTAATTTTTTTTTGTATATGCCAAAATTGTTAAGCTACCCATTCATTTCCTCTTGAATGGTAAAATTTAAATACTTTACTCGTAATTCCAAAGCACAGACTTGAAAAAAATAGTTAATGAAGTTACTACTAAGGTAATAAAAAGTGTTGTTACATGAGTTGAGTGAACCATAGGGAAGGGTCTTTAAATTTGAGAGGAATGATTAATTATCGTAATTGAAAAACTATTCTTAGTGGAATTTAGTTTACCAAATAATGTTAACAAATTTGAAGTGCCCATAAAAAAGTATATTTACTTCAGAACCTTGAGATATTATTTCGAAATAGACATAGTTGAATTAATGTGATTTACCGTGTTCAATAATTTAAAATTACTGAAAACTATAGTTTTTGTATTATAACTCAATACTGAGAAGTATATATCATAATTCATGAACATTCAATTATAAATACTAATAAAAAATGTCTTAATTGAACACTAATGACATTTATTTAATATAGTACTTTTAAATGCAAGTCAATGAGGCGTTTTATATTGTTCAGACCGATTTTTAATACTGTTAGAGGTAGAAAGAGGAGGCAAAAGAAAATGCATAAAGTATTGAATAATTTGAGAACTTACCAATTAAAGTTGTGAATAATAAAATCTGAACAAATTATAAATAGTAATAGCTCATGCTTTATCAAATATTTGAAACAACTGTGTCCTTGTCGGTATAATATCACAAAATTAAATAACTCACCGTCCTAAACGAATTTTACTTTTAATAATAAATGGATATTTATGCTTTATATGTATATATACATACATACATTTTCATAAAGATAATATTGAATAATATTGAACAATAGTATTATATATTTTATATTATATTAACTCCTGTCATATTAGTTAGTACATATATGTATGGTATTTACAGGTATGTATATGTATTTGTCATGTCTTATGTAATTGTAAACGAATTTTCTTTGTATAAATTCTAAAAATTGACCACTGAGCGAGACCGGAGACTAAAATGTTGAAATAAACCTTTTGGTTGGTCATGTATACCAATGGTTTTCAACCTATGGGTCATGAAAAATGATTCGGGGGTCTCCAAAAATTATAATAAATGGTTATTCATAACAAAATGTATTCAATCTAATTGTTACGAATGTACAATACCATATCGAAAAAAATAGCATTTAGCGTAATCTTATCTAACCATGGGTAATTAATTATATAAGCAATTGTAGTCACCGATTTTAATTGGATTGACATTTAATATCTGGTTATTTTTACTGTATGCTTGTATTTTAATAATTTTAGTCACAAATTTAATATTTAATAATAATTTTGGTTCAAAAACCAGATTTAAGGGTAGCACTATCTAATATAAAACCTAATATGGAAACTATAATCTCAAGAATTCAAGTAAAATTTCCCATTAAAACAAGAAAATCGTTAATAATAATTGTTAATTGTTAACATACATACATTTCCATATTATTTATTTTTTTTACATTTTTTATTTATTTAAGTATACGTATTCAAAAAATGTTCATATTCTATTATTTATTATTGGTAGGGGTCATATTAAAATAAAAAAGTTGGGGGTCACGATTCGTAAAAGGTTGAAAATCACTGATATAGATACCCGGGTTCTCACTGACGTGTCTGTAATATCATAACTGTGTTAGTAGAACTTCATTTCTCTGTCAGAATATTTTGTGAATTTGAATACACTTATTGAATAGATTTTGTCTATTGCTTACGACCGTTAATCTAATTATTTAACAAGATGTGTCGTGTGCTTTAATTACGCACATAACAATAAATATATCCCTAAATTTTATTTAGAACCTAAAATATTAATTAGATAAATATTAATTCATAACAACCATCATCTCATGCCTCAATTATATTCAATACATTAAATTTTGTGTTTCTATGAATTGAATTATATTTTGCTCTAGATTAAATGATTAAAGAATGATGGCACATCTATTGGATAATCATAAATCTAGTTTACAAATTTCAATTAAAATTTTTATATTTTATTAATATTTATTTTATTATTATGAATAATGATTGATGATTTATAGATGAATATAAAATAAACAAAACTACTTTACCTTATGACGATACAGGAACTACATTTATTTATAGTTATTTTGTACAAGAAATAGGGTTGGAAATCGTTTGATTATTCTGATCATAATTATCTTATTCTAGTTTTTTTTATAAATATTTATTTAAGGTTAAAAAAATGTATTGAAATTTAGATTTTGGTTTTGATTCAAATTCACATTGGTATTTAAAAGAGTTTTAATTTTATAAATTATATCAATAAATGTTACATTTTTCCAAAGTGCGATTATATTTTAATATTATTTCTACTCATTGTATAATTCGTTATAGTATTTACAGTATTTAATTACATCAGAGAAATGGAACAAAGGGATACATAATTTTCCTACTAGATTTTTTTTTTTAAATATATCGTCGTTTTGTTATATTTTTCAAAGGAACATGTGAGTCGGTGGATATATATATAGTATATGAATTTAGTTTCTGTCCTAGGTTTTTTTTTTAATAAATTATTTCTGGACAAAATATACCCGGGGTTTTTTGTTTAATTATTGTGCAAAAAGATGCACGTGTAACTATTTCAATATTTTCGAAGCAAAAAATCTATGTAACAATAGGTAATATTAAATTTAATAAGACGCGTTATATTTTGTACCCGTTAGCACGAATTTGTGATTTACACTACAGTTGTCTTCATTTGTTAACAAAAATTAGGTCTATTGTTTATTTCCTTGCTCCTTGGTTAACATTTCAAACTAGAACAATAATGGTTTTTTCACTAAGTAATAATTTTTTTGGCGAAAGAAAAATTATTTATTTACCGTGTTCATACCGTGAATTTCGTTATTTTATTTGAGTTTCTGTGACGAATCTTTTTAATATTTAATATTTTGGTAGGGTTTGTACGGTAATTATTTTTGATATTTGTAATTTTAGTTTTTATTTTTGTTATTTACATTATTTATTATACCTTCTTCATTTTTCAAACAAGTGTTTTATAACTTCGTATATACTGAAATACCATGCTTTAATTGCTAATAATAACCATTCCTTTGAGTAGAAATGGTTACCTAATATAATTCATTATCAGACCTACATTAGAAAATTATTTAAAACCAAATATTTATTTTATGTTATTATTTTTTTTAAATCACAGTACATAACAT